TTTTTTTTTGTAATAAAATCCCCCACGTTTTTAAAAAAGAGGAGACTCTAAAACACGGAGCCTCAAATTCTTCACCTCCAGGTTTCCAGCCTGCTATCTCCACATCCCAATGTTAATGCTGTTGCAAGAGAGAATTCCATTAAGGCTGGGAAACGGGGAGTTCACCACTGCAATTGGGACTAGAATTTCCGTCGCTAAGCAAGGCGCTCGTTAACTGAGTTTACGTCCGATTTTAAGCTTTCCTCACCACGGTTCAGGGGATCACAGCAGGATCACTTGGTCATGAAGTAAATCCAATTAATTCCCCCATTGCTCGCTGGAGATCAGGTAACCCCGGGACGCCGACCCTGTCGTAAAGACACACCAGTTGCCAAGTGGCCGAATTGGGAATCATGTGACTAGGTGGCCGCACGGGCGAGGACTGCTCATAAGTCACCTCGTTTAGCGTCCCAACTCTGAACGGTTGATAAAAACAAGGGTTGTAACTGGTGCCCGTGGTGGTCATAACTCTGAGGAGTAGCTGTATCTTAAGTAACGCTCGGGATACATTATCAAAAGCCCCGAGACCACCTCAAAGGCAAAATTTCAACCCTAACTTAAATGAAGAAACCCCCTCCCCACCTTCCAGCCAGGAAAAACAGCTCCAAATTCAACGGCCAATTTGCTTTATTAATTAATTAGCAAAACACCCCTCCGGTGTTAACGGACCCCCTCCCATGGTTGAGCCGCCCCTGTGATTTGGGTTTTTCTTCCGAGCCCCTGGCAGTCGTGTTGGTATCCCACAGGTGGTTGACCCACACCCACACACACACACCAACCATCTTCCCGTTCCAACCATCTTCCCGTTTCCCAGGGCTGCCCGCGTCGGCGAAAGCAGCCCAATTTGGGGTCTCGCTCAGCCGAGATTGCTCAGACCGCAAACGGACAATTTGGGGGGTGGGGGATGGAAGGATGGATCCGAACCGGGACGTGTGAAAAAAAAAACAAAGGAAAAACACAGGGAAAAAAAGGCTTTTTAAAGACTGGTGCTGTCCACTTCTCTTTTTTTAAGCATTGGTAGTTGATTTTTTTTTTTTCGTTTTGTTTTCTTTTATTAAATCTCCCGGGAAGATTTATGTGGAGGAAAGGGGTCTGGACGCGCTCCTTTCGGCCGCCGTCTTCGGCATCTCCAACCCCTGCCTGCTTTTGGCGAGTGGCCGGCTGGAGGGCAGGGCCTCCGGCGAACGGTCACCCCGGGGATTGACCTCCAGTGACCCCGGACGGGGGTTGACCTCCAGAGACCCCGGGCGAGGGCTCACCTCCAGAGACCCCGGACGGCAAGGAGACAAAGGCTCGGGGGTCCCCAAGCCTTTGGCTCTGGCTTCCCGGGACCGGGGTCTCCCGGACGGAGGGGCCTCGGCGGAGATCGTCCTCCTCGGGGTGGGCTCCCGCGAGCTGGGCCGGTTGGGGGTGGTGGGCAGCTGGGGGCTGGTGTCCTTCAGACGCAGATCCATGCAACCCGGCTGGCGGGAAAGCGGGATATCGTCGTTCATTCTCTCCTTGGGCGGCTTGGCCTCCAATTCGGGGGCTTCCGGGGCGTCCAGCCCACCGGCGTCTCTCAGCCGGAGGTCCATGCTGCCAGGCTGGCGGGACAGCGGGCCATTGGGGGTAGCGCCTACCCGGGACCCGACCTCTTCTCTAGCCGGCATCTTCCCGCTCGAGAGGGGTCGCTCGGAGGTTTTACCGGGG